TCAATAGGGACGATTTGAGAAGGATTCGAGAGTGAATTGAGAGCTTTGGATGTCACCGGGAGGTTCACAATGAAGAGTTGATGACAAAAGAGTTCTAGCATTGGCTACGGGATCAAAAGAAGACAAATAGAGCTTGAAAACGGCGTTCAGAATGACCTTATGTCATTCGTTCAAGCATATCTCTTCGTAAAAGCGTACAAAGAACATGATTCAAGTTGCATATGATGAAAGCCAACTTCAAGGGATACAAATCATATGAAGACACAATTCCTAGAATCTGAGAGGAAAAAGGTGAAAACAGACGATGAAGTCAGATGATCCCTGTTGCGATTTCAGAATGAGACATTCCACCATTTTGATCATATCTTTTGATTGGATGATTCAAATCCAATTCAATAAGTCGTGGTGGATAGAGGACTTCCTTATCTACAACATTCATGAAGGAAGTTTTGTCAAATACGGACTAGAGAAGCTGGAAAACTCACTGGCAGCCACGCACGGTTGTGCGTGGAGGGACGCACGCGTGTGTGGCACGTTTTAACGCGCGGGTCTGTCGGACGCACAGATGCCACGCACGCCGTGTGTTGTGCAGTGCGTGCCTCCTGGAGTCCTAATTTCACCCGAATTTATCCCTTTTTCCTATTTAATTAGTGTGTAAACCCCTGTTTTGAGGGGGAACTTAGAGAGATGGCCTAGCACGAAATTTTGAGAGCTTTTCAGCCTTGTTCTTCAATTCTTTGAGATTCTTTGTAAGTTCCTACTTAATTAATGACAATTAATTCTATTCTTCTCAATTCTGTTGTTAATTCAACTATGAGTTGTGAGTAGTCTTAATTAGGGATTTGGGGTTGATTAAGGGGTTAATCAAGATGTATGGCTAAATTCATGACGGATTAATTGCATGAATGATATTTAATTTGTGTTTGAATGATTTTATTGATATCTTTTGTAACCTAGAACGGCCGCTAGAATTACAATTGCGGGTAGAATAAATTAAGAGAGATCTAGTTTATTCTATGACACCTTCACACACACTTATTCGTTCGCTAAGAGATTAGTAGCGCTTAAGGGGCCATAAGCTCGCTCGTTTTGGCAATAGTTTAGGATTCTGTCGCATGAGAGATCAGCCTGGTCCCCTAAATTGTACTCTACGCCGCGAGAGCGGTAAGAACTTAGTAATGATTAGCTAGGCTCAATTAAATTAATTTCATGTAATTAAGCCTGATCAACCAGAAACCTGATTACCCCGGAATCAATCTATGTTCCCTTCGTCGTTAATTAAGAAGAAACTCATCTTTATTTTAATTCGTTATTTGCAATTCAATTTTCCAAACCAACCATTTTCGCACAATTTAATTTATTTTATGTATTTTTTATCGCTGAATTTATTTAATTCTTAATTCCCTTTTGTTCGTCCCTGTGGAGACGATACTCGTACTTATACCACTATATTACAATCTATTTTAAGTGCGAGAAAACTCACATCAATGAGGCTTCAATATGGAAGCTTGCTGGATATATTTAAGGTGAGGATGTGAGGCTATGTGGTCCTGAAAATTGATAAATGATTATGTAAAGGTGAATAAGCAAAGGGACTATGTATGAGGAGAGAAATCCTTGAGATATTGTGACTATTGAATGGATATTGAGGAATTGGGATGATATAAATAAATGTTAATAATGTGTGATTTCCATGTAATCTTAAAAAGGTTAAATTGATATTTAAGTGGATAGATAAAGTGGTGAAACATGAGGTGAAGAATCCTTGAATTATTGTCATGATGATATGAATCCTTAGCGATTACTTGTGTGTTCTATTCAATATATTGAATAAGATAAGCATGTATCTAGAATGAGTGATGGACTATGGTCAGGCTCAAATGAAAATGTGAAGTCTACCTAAAACTATGTGATGGCAGCCCGGGGAGTCATGACAAAGACTAGCCCGAGGTTGATAGATTATGATTACTCGGATATAGTAAGTATTGTTGTGGTTGAATCCACGGTCAAACAAAGATATAGACGTTATGTGATTTATTCGGGTTGTGTAAGCTTTAAACGAATAAACATTATAATCAGGACGTGTAAGCCATACACGAATTAAGGTTATATGCGGGGGTGTGTAAGCCCTAAATGAATAAAGAGTTATACGGGGTGTGTAAGCCCTAAATGAATAAAGATATTATATTGGGTGGGTAAGCCCAAAACGAATGAATACAACCGTAGGGTGTGTAAGTCCAATATGGATGAGTACAAAGGACAAAAGGTGTAACCCTCTCAATGGAATGAGGTATAGATGGACTATGGGGTGGTGTAACCCTCTCAAAGGTTGTTGTATGCAAGTATAGGCCAAAGGCTATTTAAGGAGAATTGTTTTGAAATACAAATGGACCTACGGATCGGTTATTAGACTTGATATATACTATACATGTGATTTGAAATGGGGTAGCTATAGGTTATGTCCATAGTCTATTATCACCGTATGTTGAGGGTCTTGTGTTTGAAACATTGATTATATGCCGTATAGTTGTCATTGTACTTTTCAAATGATTCAAAGTACTGACTTCCCCTTTACAGGTGAGGCCACCTCACAGTTTTCATGTTGAAGTCAGAGCTTGCTTCCTGTTCCCGTTTGCTTCGGGTGATCTATGGAAAGAAGACATGTTTCGTGGTTCTTCCAATTTTATTTTGTTATAAATAAAATGATGCTCATGGAAACTATTTTAAATTATAAATGATTTGGGAGCTTGCGTGCTCATGTTTGCCCCGCGTGGCCTTTGACTTTAAAAGTACTTGTTTTCCATTGCGTATTTATGAAATGTTTTACTTATAATTGTTTATGGATGTACTTGTGTGAATGATATTCATGTACACCTTGCATGGATCAACTGAGATACACTGCGATTGCCTTAATCAGATATTCCAGCGGTTGTTAGCATGTCCGGCCAGTCCACGGTGTGACAATATTCGATATTTATCACTGTAAATTAGGACTTCTCTGATCGACATGTTTTGTCTATGGCTTATTTTATAGAAAAAGGATTGTCTATTCAAAAGATTTTGAAAATATGAACAAAAAACATACACTTTTTGTCCAGTCTGACTAACAGTCTAACATTGTCAATGAATGAATTTTATGACCAGCATTTTTTCCATGGCGTAACATTCGAGAGAAAAAATGTTGTTGCGGAAGATTCTGAAAATGCGTACAAAAGTTTGTGATTTTCTAGTGTCTAAAGTTTCAAATAATTAACAATGTGAATTCAATTGAAGTACAAGAATTATATTTTAACGTGAATGATAACTAAGGACTAAGACTACCTAGCTATATCCTTGCACCATTAGAAAATTTAAATATGAAATCCGTGTATATGAAAATAATGTATGGACTCTGCCAATACAATTTTCTTTACATTCCATTATCATCAATAAAATCACTCATCATATTTTTTTACATATCAATTTAGTAAAGCAGTAATTAAATTATTTTAAGAAATGTTTTTCTTTTTTTTTTTTCTTAAATTTTTGAAATAATTAAGAAATACCCATTTTGATGCTAAAATATTTTTGTTGTGTTTCGTGTTTTTTGGAATAAAAACTGCAGCTATTGAAACTTTAGATATCATTATAAATTTTAAGCATGCAATCATTATACTCCGTAATAAGTTTTGATATAAATTTTATAAAAATTACTCCCTCCGGTCCTTAATTAATTTTACACTTTCCTTTTTGGGTCGTCTCATATGAAACTTTACACTTCCTTATTTTCCTTATTTGGCAAACAAATCTACACCAAACAATGCAAAACAGTGTACTCTACAGTAAAGTCAAATTTATTTCCTTAATATGTGTGAAGTCAAAGTGTAAATTTTATTAAGGATCAGAGGGACTAAAAAAAAAGTTATGACACTTTAAAATTAAATCTTGGCCCCGATTGAAATATGCATTCAGCCCTTTTTTTCTTGCTTTTAGCAAGTCAAAGCTCCCTCCACCCCGGACCCCTTCTCCATTTTACCCTCCCAATTTTGCTCCAATAATGCAATTTAGGATTCCAAACTTTAAAATGTCAAATTTTAATATTTTGGATTACAAATCTACTAATGGTTTATAAGACCATCTCGAATAGTTTACACCATTTTGTACACTAAAATTGTGTAAACATCACATCATACATTATTTTATCTTCAACAGTTTACACCATTTTCATCACCAAAAAGGAATATTCACTTTATATTCTTTTTACTAACTTTTTATCATTCTTCTATTTAAATATATAATTATCATATATTTATACATTAGCCCCTCATTTAATATTTTGACATTTCACACATGCCAACTAAAATACACCATTTTAATATCTATTTTCACGCATTTTCACTCTCTCCACCAAAATGATGAAATGGTGAAAGAAATGGTGTTATTGTTGGAGCAAAAATTTGACAAATACACCATTTTCGTATATGAAAGGGTGATTGTTGGAGAAGCTCTAAGAGCAATAATGTTCCGTACATATTGTGGACAAGAATCACTCCGAGACGTTTATTTTGAGACAAAACTCCACCAAATCAATGTTTCTGTGATTGAAAACCAAAATCACCCAGCTGGACCAACATGTGTACGTACGTACTCAGTGCTCTTATAGCCAGCCATGTATGAGCCCATTTGGCAGCACGAAAATCGGCTGTTCTGGCTGATTCTGCTGAAATTTATGAAGTTCTGGCTGAAATGGCTGCATTGGCTGATTGCTGATACAAGAAAAAAAATATTTTTAAAATATATTTTATTAATAAAATAAAGAAAAAATTATATGTAAAAATAGCTAAAATGGCCATCTACAGTAACATCAGCCAATACAGCCAGAAAAGTAACTCCAACCTTACTTTTTCAGCTTATTACACAATTCAGTGCGCGAAAGCAAAATTTACGTGTTTGGTAAAAAAGTTGGTTGATAAACCTGATAAGCCGAAAATGAGAGTTGCCAAACGGCCTTTATATATCGTTCTAGATTGAGACTTGAGAGTAGTAGCCAATAGCCATGGCCAAAAATGCTAATGACTTAATGGAATACCTCTTCGAGGATAATCCAAACAGAAATAGTAGTGATGATAAAGGAGGAGATGATTGTAGTGCTCAAAAGTTAGCTTCTTCTCCATTCTTCTCCCAGCAATGGCCACAAAGTTTCAGGTTTTTCTTCTTATGCGCCTCTTTCTCTGTTTACTTTGCTTATTGAGTTTTGCAATTTTGTAATTCTTTCAACTTTCACGCTGTTTAATCCTTTGCTGACCCAGTGACCTCCACTAATATTAACTAATCGTTCCACTCAACTATCTTTCTTTCTTTTTATTTCCTTTTCCTTTTTTTATTTTGCAATTCTTTCTAATCTATTATAGTATTAGTTCATGTATACAATTCTTAAATTGTATGGATTGGAGTATCTAAAAGAGGGTTTTTCAAAAACATTAGTGAAACCAAACTTAGTTTTAAAAATTTAACTAAGATTGTCATTTTTCTCCTTTTCACTCCGTCCCACGATAAGATCGTCTCATACCAAATTTAGCAAAATTTGTGTGGCTCAGAATTGTTATTACTTTATTCTTTTTTTTATTAATTTAGTATCAACCACATAAACTCTTTTTTGTTAATAATTGTTTCACTTTCGTATGTCCCAATGTTAGTGGAATAGAGATATTACTATATAGTATAGTCTCATAGTCGTTAAGTATAAAAGTTGAACATAAGTTACTATGACTAAGTTACTACTATAGCCATTACACTTAAAAGCTCACATTTTTATAAACAACATTTATTTTAGTCACATATATGTAATTGTTTCTATCTAAAATTGAATCTTGTGAATTTCAAAAATATTAAATGGTATATGTTAAAATACTTGTCCCACACCGAAAAATTATAAAATAATAACACACTATATAAGACTTTATGTTTCTCCTCCTATCAGGTTGATCTTTTAAGATGGAACTTCGAGTCTTAACATGGTATCAGATCCAATTCCGGTTGTTGTTTGACTCCTTGTTTAGCACTCATGATTAAGAGTAACTTGCTAAGGATATTTGTCCCACACCGGAAGCTATAAAATAGAAGATGGAACTTCAGGTCTTAATAGTATACAATCTGATTTAAAACATCTATCTTGTTCTCCGAGTATAGTAATGCTTACATTTTCTAAATTGACTCATAATATGAACGCACGGCAATTGTTCGGAAAAAATTCGAAAGTGAATGTTCATTTTTTTTTTGAAAGAATATTTTATTGTTTGCTGAACTTGTATAAAATATTGATATATGTATCATTTTTCATAAAATTTCTGGTTATGTTAAGATTTTTCTAACTTTTTTCTACTTGTACAACTTTAACAAATTAAATTTTAGATGTTTTTGTTACCTATTGAATTTGATGTTTAAATAACTTGTGAAATGGTTGAGATATACTTTTTCAATGATTTTATTTTTTCTATACAAAACTAGTAAACACAGCTAATTTTGTTAATTTAAAATGTAGTAAATATACTGATGGTTTAGCAAATGAATTTAATTAAACTAATTTGGTTATTAATGAATATCTTAGATTAGTAAATTTTGGGATTGAGTTTTATGCTATACTTAAATGATTATCACGTTTAAAAGAAATAGGTATTGGTATAAAATTATAAAATGCCAACAACAAAAATGTCAAATAAGTATGTCCTAAAAAAACATATACATAAATGAATAAAATTATCATAATAAATATATTAGATGTATGATTATACATGTGTGTAACGTTTACAATTAATGTGCATTGATATACCTTTTTAAAATGAGAACAAGTAGCGAATGAGAACATGATACTTCTGAAATGTGCATTGATATGATAATTTGAAATGAGCAAAACACACGCACCGATTGAGCATAAATTACTTAAGAAATAGGCATTGAAAATTTTAGGCTAAAGGGTTAAATATGCCCTCAAACTAACTTAAAAGTACAATCACCCCTTATATAGGAGACTATGTACGGCGTCGCCATTTGGAGCGGTTTTTGATGAAATTTTTCAAGCATCTTCTTCATTAACTCTAGTTTACCCATACCAAATTTCAGATAAACAATTCAACCGAGAGAGTCAAATGGTTTTTTTAAATGTACTGCGTTGTTTAACTGCGCAATTATCTTCAAAAGTTCATTTGACTGCCTTCCCGAATGAATTTTTAGCTGAAATTTGGTATGAGTAAACTAGACTTAATGAAGAAGATGCTCAAAATATTTCATAAAAAAATTGCACCGGGAACCGCCCTAAATGGCGACGGCCAGACAAAGCCTCCTATATAAGAGGTGATTTGCACTTTTTAAGTTAGTTCGAGGGCATATTTGACCCTTTAGCCAAAATTTTAAAATTCAATCACTTATGTTCGAATTTAGGCATGTCAACCAGTCGGGTACGGGAAAGTGCATAACGTAGTGCACTGGGCTGTAACGGGTCCAAATCCAGCTATAGGTAAACGGAATTAAATGTATACCCTTACTCGTTAAAAAAACGGATCTGAGTCTAGAGCCGACCCATTGATAGGCATATTCAGATGTCCGGATCTCGACTATTTAATTACATTCATTATAATATGCTCATTCAAACTCTTTATTATGCTCATTTTTAATTTTAATGTCATATTAATAATGTCTATTTCTTTTAAATGGTATACTCATTTGAGTGTAGAATAGAACTCATTTCTATAATCCACACATGTATTATATTCACGGGGGACTTAGCATATTTAGATTATTTACTAAATTATTATTAGATTTAGCATATTATTTGAAATATTCATTTATAATTTGTCGATCTTGATTTAAAGAATTTATTTTGTTCATTTTATAATGTTTAACTCATGTACATTTGTTTTAAACAATATATACTCATTTTAGTATAGCATGAACTCATTTCAATAATTCACAGCTACTAAACTTATTCTAACTAATATAATTAGTTGCGTTTACTACGTTGGTATGGATAATATATAGAATATTTTGAAAAATATATATTTAACCACTTTTATTTTGATCGTTTTATAACAATGCAGATTTTTTTGACCATAAAATTCCTAATGAACTTATTTTAATGTACATTTATTTTCAACGTTATACTCACTTAAGTATAACATAAAACTCATATACTTAGTATATCATTTACACTTGTGATATATTTCATGAAAACTAAATTAATATAACTAACCTCGTGTACACAATTAACACTTGTTTTACCAATGAGGAATATAACAGTTTGAGCAAGAAAAAATATATCAATGCACATTCCCTATAAACATTATACTCATTTGATGATATCACATAAAACTCTTTCGAATAACTTATATATGTAATATATATTCTTTTCAAATCAACTTCATGTAATCACATTTATTTTATTAGTAGTTTGTAATACAAAATATAAAAAGGGGTTATTCCCTTAATATTACTAAATTGGACTGAATTTCCAAAAATGTGAGTACTTTTAAAAATTGACAAAAAAGTGATTAACAAGGTCACATATTTGGGATTAGAAAAACATGATGTCACCGGAAAAAATTTATGTCACTATGCTCCTTTTTCTTGTCACCGAGAGTTGTCAAAGTCAAAACTTCCACGCCAATTACACCGCCACCGCCACAGTGACATCGTCATAGTGACGCCGCCACAATGACGCTGTTACAGTGACACCGCCACAGTGACGCCGCCTCCGGTAACACCACCACAGTGACATGCCGACTACAACCATAGTGACACCATCAAGCCCACCACCCACTGTTGCCAGCACCGTCCCGCACCTGCACCCTCCTCAGCCCCTCCTCAACCCTGCCGCAGCCCCATCCCCAACGGCCATCTACCGTGTCACCGCCGCCGCCTAGTGACACCCCCGCCGGCATCGCCATACCATCAACACGGCCAAACCGTACTGCCCCTTCCCCTCCCAGCCATCCCCGATCGTCACCGCCAGTCACCACCACCAGCCACCCGCCTTCACCCCTAACATTCAGCCACGCCGCCCTAAGCCCCAACATCCAGGCTCCATCCCTACTCCCCTGTCCTCAGCCCCCTCCCCTGCTCCCCTTCCCAACAAATTCGATCTGAAACTCAGATCTGAAAATAAGAAGGAAAATCCCCAAAATCGATTTGAAATTCTAAAAGAAAGAAGAAAAAGGAGAATCAAGTGTGGTGGCTTGGTAATCGCCGTTGACTGGAGGCATGGCTGTGCGAAGAGGAGCGCCGGATTGGAGGAGGAACCACTGATTTGGCGAGGCAACCCATGCGGTGAGGCAGCCTATGCGGCGAGTCCCAGGTGAGGCAGCCTGTGCGGCGAGTCCCAGGCGCGGTGAGGTGCGGCGGAGGCAAGGCTGAGGCGAGGTCGGCGGGTTGGCAGATGAAGGAAGGATGCTCTGCGAAGAAGGGAAGAAATGTGTGATGGTGTTCGCTGGAAAGATGCGCAGAAGAGAAAGAGGCGTTGATGAATTGCTCTTGGTCACATGGTCAGTTTTGTGGAATTTTTAAAAGTGGTCATATTTTTGTGTAACACAAGTTGGGAAGTAATATTGGTGTCATTATTTCATATAAAAAATATACATTTTTTAACCTAATACTCATTTATGTATAACATAAAACTCACTTCTATAAATCATACACGCAAGACATTTATCACAAATCAACTTATTAATAACCAAGCATTCCAGTCCAGCTGGTTGTGGGGTCATCATGCCTAGTGGAAGATCTTGAATTCAAAACCCGCTAGGCACACAAGGGTTTGAAACTCAATGGAGTGAGTTTCAGCCCTGATTACTTCAGGCCCCAGCCCCTAGCCCCCAGACCCATCTGGAGTAAAAAAATCAACTTATTCATTTGTGTATATTCATTATTGATGCTTATCTAAAATATTTGTTGCGCTCATTATACAATAACATACATATGCTTGTTTCTCTTAAACGTTACACTCATTTATACGTAGGGCATAACTCACACATGTAGTATATTCAATTATTCATTACACACCAATTTAATATAATTACTTTTTAGCCAATTATTCGTAGTTTTGTAATGAGAAATATTAGTAAAAGTAATTTATAATCATATCAATTTTATTGTGTTAATTTTATAATATAACATTCATGCACAATTTTTAAGGATTGTATACTCACTTGAAACACTTGATATGTGTTGGGTGTGTTTCGGAAAAAAAAGAAAAGTAATTAAAATAAATTAATTAAATAAAATGACTAGAGAAAAACAAGAAAGGAGATGAAGCAGAATTAGTCAACGGTCGTGCTACGCACGATTTCCTTAAAACGTATTTGTTGCCTCCCACAGTGCTAGGAGCGTTGCAACAATCGTTTCCCAGGATACGATGACTACGAACTAGTGTTTGAGCACACAAACAAGAGTTCCAGCGAACGAAAACCAAGTGAGAACACAGAAGGAATTTTCAGAGTAGCTGTAGGTGGTTTTAGCTCAAGAATACGTGAGGAATGTATCAATGCGTTGTGCGTTGATTTCCCGTGTGTTTGTTGCAAAACACCTGCCAGCTATTTATAGGAGGATTTGTTGTGTGTTAAATGGGGTGTTAATGGACCTGAACGTTGGACATCAATGACCAGTCCGTTGGGCATTGAATCGTCCATAAACTGTCCATTTAACGCAGCATTAAAAGAGAAGAACGTTGGGCATTAATTGTTGTAACGGAAGAAATGCGTGACAGAAAACCCCAACAGAACACCCCTTGGAGGGGTTCTGTCCGAAGCCAAAAGAACACCCCTTGGAGGGTTTCTGTCCGAAGCCCGCGCACACGAGTCGCGGTTTTTCTTCTCCGTTTCGGGATTTGATAAGCTTAGGTTAACTTAAACAAATTGCAGTATTATTAATTAATTAGTGAAAGAAGGAGAACTGTTTTAATCAAATCTTCATCGCATTTGATTTATTTTGAAATTAGGAGGTGTGATTTGTTGCTATAAATTACGGAGTAAGAGATTTTTATATAAAAGAAAAAAAGAAAAGGAAAAGAAGTGAAACGAGAAGTAAGGATGAGGTATGGGAGTGACAAGCCGACCTAAGGAAAGAATAAAAATACTAGACTATATAGTGAGTACTGTACAATACCAGTTTATACGAAAATTTTGTATTAAACCAGTCTATTTATTTTTTCCTTGTAATCCAGTACTATCAATACAACAACAACATCCAGTACTATCAATATACAAAAAAAATAGAATCATACTTTTATTCGTATACATCAATGTTTTCCATTTCGTTTTGCGAATATTTACAATTTAAATGGTAAAACATTACGATATAAACAACTTAAAGATGTAAAAAACGAGATCTTAATTTTGGCACATAGATCCACTTAAAAAGTAGGCTTAAAAAACTTTTTAAAACATTCTATGTACATTTTTGGTGTCGAAAGATCATAAAAAATTATTACATTTTCCCATTTTGTGTGTCTTATTTTGGTTTAGCACAATTATAAATAAAGTGATTGAAAAAATTAAAGTTGAGATTGAGATTTGAGTATATAAGAAAGTGAAATTTTGATGATCACATATTTTTTTTTTGAAAGGATCACATATTCCTTTTTTTAAAAAAGGAAACATGACATTGATTTTGAGACAACCAAAAAAAGGTAAAATGAGGCGTACGAAATACTCCCTCCGGTCCTAAATAAACTTCAGTATTTGACTTTACAGTTTTTAAGAAAGTGGAATTATTTGTTTTGACTTTCCGTTTATACCCCCAAAAGAAAATTACCCCCTACTATCCATAGTAAAAAAAAATTGAGAGCATTCCATTAATATGCTGTGGAAGTGACTGACATCAAGTACAAGTACCGTACTTCAAACTTCCCTCTAAAGGGTTGTTGGGACTTTAGAAACCAAATCAATATTAAGTGTGATTATGCAAGTAATGCAAGATAATGCCAGACCTCATATTCAAATACATGATGCAGACTTTGTTAAAGCAGGAACAGAGAATGGATGGAATATCCAACTACAATGTCAACTCCCTAACAGCCCTGATTTAAATGTTTTAGACCTAGGTTCATCACTTGTGTCTTAATATAGGCAAACACATATAATCATGCTCACAATTTACACATATCATATGCTAACACACCTCAGAATCACCACATACCAAGCACATTTACATCACAAGTATTGTAGCATAAGCAAACACAGCTAATCATGATCACATGTTACATATCCTATGCTAAAACACCTCAGAATCATCACATACTAATCACATTTACATCACAGGTGAGTTATGCATAGGCAAACACAGCTAATCATGATCACAGGTTACATATCCTATGCTAAAACACATCAGAATCATCACATATTAATCACATTTACATCACAGATCACAGGTGAGTTATTATAGCTAGAGAACACTGAAGTTTATTTAGGACCGGAGGGAGTATAATCATCATCACTGGTTACAGATCCTAAGCAATCACACCTCAAAATGGATACATAGTAATCACAATTTACATCACAGGTCTTTTAGCATAGCAAACACACCTCAGAATCATCACAGATTCATCACAGGTATTGTACCATAGGCAAACACGGATAATCATGCTCAGAGGTAACACATCCTTAGCATAGGCAAACACAGATAAGCATGATCACAGGTTACATATCCTAGGCAAACAGAACTGACAACCAGCTTAATAGCATTCCCAGACACACAAACACCCATCACAGTTCAATCACAACCCTTAAATCATCATTAGTTACACATCAAGCCAAACCGCTCAATCATCATGCAATGGCCCAACACAACACCCCCTCAATAATCATAAGTCCATACAACATCAAAGACACAAAGAGTAAGGGTTCAGAGATTACTATCCTTAAGGAGTTTGTTGGTTGTCGTCGTCTTCCCCACTGTCACCGCCGTCTTCCCCAAATCCATCATCGCTCTCTTCTCCATCATCCAGCCCGGTCCCGAGTTCACTTCCTCTCCATCTTCTGAATCCAGTCCTTCCAAACCGTTGAATGTATCAGAGACAAGGTTGGATTCGTATTTCTTATGCAAACGCCAGTTCGGATCAGTTTCAGATGAGCTTTCAGAACCAAATCGAACTATGAATGGTCTGAACGGAACTCAGTCGTGGTTTGCATTTGCATGTGAAGCTTCAGCTTCTGGATCTACCCACGACTTACTCTCGAATTGTGAGGGTCCAAGGTCTGTAGCGTGTGTGGGTTTGGGAAGCTGGTCCGCCGTAGGGTTTTCAGGGGTGGCTGATTTGGGATCCATTGAGATGGAGGTCAGAACTATGAGGGCTGAGGATCGAGGTGAGGAGAAGGAGGGGTGGCTATGGATGGAAGTGAGGAGAAGGAGGGGTGGCGATAGAGGTTAGGAGGTTGGAGGCGGTGGAGGGCGATGGATGGAAGACAGAGAGACGAAGAACAAAGAGAGAAGGTTCGAGAGAGAGATTGAGCGCATAAAGTGAATAAAAGTGACAGGGTGGGCCAAACAAGGGGGTAAAAAGGTTAGGGATATAAAGGGTATTTCAGATAAAAAACTTTCCTAATACGGAAATGTGAAGTTTATTTTGGACCGACCCAAAAAGGAAAGTGTGAAGTTTATTTAGGACCGGAGGGAGTATAACTTTAGATATACCTTTTGTTAAAATTTGAGTAGAATTAATAAAACTATGAATTAATTCTATTTTTAGTCCTACGAGTTTAATGTGTCATTTTCACGTCTTTCACTTTGTTCACTTTTGGTACTTGACTAATGTTTCTTGATCATTTGTTGTCCTTCTGTGATGATTTTAATCACCGCAATTATTGTCGAAAGGACCACATATGTGCGAAAATACAATATTTATGTACTAAAAGTGGTCAAAGTCAAAGACGTGAACCAATTGTGAAATCAGTGCGATACTCGTAGGACCAAAATGGTTGTTTTACTTTTGGATTGTCTCAAAATGAATCTTCTTTCCTTTTTGGCAAGAAATAGGTAATTCATAGAGTTTTTTCCCGGAGAGGGGTGTTTTTCAAACTTATTTCCCAAATCAGAGTATTTTTGCCATGCCATCGAGCTTACCCTAGTGTACTGGTTGTTAACTTTTTTTATCTTTTAGAAACACACTTAAACTCTTAAAATTGGATGACATGGAATTGCTGAGATGATGTGGATAAGCTGATGTGACGACTTGTGGTGATAATGAGATGACATGACAAAAAAAAATGATTTTGGAAATAAGTTCAGAAGTATCCTTTGGGAAATAAGTTTGAAAAATATCTCCCTTTAGAAAAAAAAACTCTTAATTCATATATTTCACGGCATTTTAATCAAATCTCAACTGCACTTTTACCTATTACGAGTAAGTGTTAATGTATTTTATTAGGGAGTAATACTTTTACGCCTCCTCCGTTGCGTCCATCTTTTTGCCTGGCTTGGTCATTATTTCCTGCGTCCCTGCCGGTGAATGCTGGTGGCACTTCCCTATACTCTTTTTGTGTCTTGAAACAAGCTCAAAAATGACTTTTCAGCTCAATCGAATAAGTATAACTGTATAAGCATATCAAGTCTTGAAGTGTTAATGGAAAGAGTAATGTGAGAGTTTGTAAAGTTTAAACAAGCAATTCAGTACCGTTTAAACTCCTCAAAGCAGACAGATTTCAAGATTAATGTAACACACGGCCTCGAGTGTAATAATTGTGAAATCCCATCTGAAGAGAGCTTCTAGAGATTCATGATATTTATGCATTCATATTCAGGACCATGCTTAGGGATTAACCAAGTCTCTTGTCCTTGGTTCGAACTTCAAAGCCATTGGGCTAGGGATTAACCATTTCCTTAACGTTTTATGATTGATAGGGAAGAAATCTCATCAAAACAGTCATCCTACTATGAAAAACTAAACGGGGGGCTTCCTCTTAACCATGGATGTAGCTTCTCACAAACGGTAATAACTGGTGAGTAAAGAGTAGTCTGTAATCTCTTTCAAAGTAAATATATGAATCTGCATTGTCATATAATGCTCTAATAATTTCTGATTTAGGACTGAATGTGATGGCTGGAATTGGGATTCTTTCTACTCCTTTCACTGTAAAAGAAGCTGGCTGGGCTAGCATTGTGATTTTGGTTCTTTTTGCTGCTACTTGTTGCTATACGGCGTATCTTATGAAGCAATGTTTTGAGAGCAGAGACAGCATGAGAACTTATCCTGACATGGGTGAAGCCGCGTTCGGAAGATATGGGCGCATTATCACAGCTGTAAGTTTTGAATCTAATAGACTCACAATTGCATTGAGATCATTCAAATAGATCTGAATGCACACGGATTAAACCACATTAAGGACTTGAATCCAATTGATTAGCTAGTACAGCTCAATAACTTATAAACTGATGTGTTTCTTTTTAATATTTCGATGTGTAACTCAAGCTTAATAGAGTGCCTAAACTGTGAAGCTTAAAAACTATTGGTTCGGTTTAGATTAATATTACTTACTTCTTCGGTTCATTTATCTTGTATTTGAAACAAGAACTAGTTTTTTGAAATTAGTTTTTTTGACAAATAATACTATTGGTTTTTTTAAATTAGCTGACATTATGCTGCATTTCCTTTGTGTACAGATGCTTTTGTATACGGAATTATATGTAAGTGAATATGGTCTTCAGCTTAGCGCTTCTCTGCATGAATTTTATCTCTTACAGGTATTATTTTGGACTATTTAAGTCATACTGTGTAGAGTATATCATATTGGAGGGAGATAATCTCACAAATTTATTTCCTGGAGCTTCCCTCAACTGGAATGGTCTAAATCTGGATTCTACACATTTATTTGGACTTCTAACTGCTCTGATAATTCTACCAACCCTCTTTTTGAGGGATGCTCGGTTAATATCATATCTTTCAGGTGCACCTGTCGATTTCCCTTTTCTGCATCGTTAAGGGTATGTTTGTGTCATGGAAAATTCTGGGGAAATTTGATAAGGAAATAGTTGTACTTATGTTTAGTTGACCTAGTAAACTACATCGGGAAATGAGATATGGTTATTTTAAACAAAAGTGCATATATTTAGCCTTTTAATAATAGACATGATCAAATTCTCATCTTTGTTTTTGTTTGTATTATCATTCCCTGGAATTTTCAGGAATACAAACAGACACTAAAAGTGCAGTTCTTAATATTATAATCTGAGAAGATACTTTATAATGTCTTCATACTGCAGCCTGTGGCGTTGTTGCAACTATGGCCATTGTAGTTTCTGTAGTGTTACTCAGTGTTGTAGATGGAATTGGAACGCCCCAAACAGGTCAATTGGTGAATTGGAGTGGCATCCCGTTTGCTGTTGGTGTGTACGGATTTTGTTATTCTGGACACTGTGTGTTTCCCAATATCTACCAATCAATGGCCAACAAAAAGCAATTCACTAAGGCAATAATCATATGGTATGGAATCTAGTTTCATTTAGACGCTAAGCACCCTATTAGCATAATTGATGTAATCCACATTGGTTCATAATTTCATATATAATCTCGTTTACAAGATGGATTTCCTCAGCCTATTGCCTGGGTTCTAACTTCTAAGCTTGAGGCTCATGCGCCAAATCTTATACTACGTATGTTGTTTCGGTTTTTGGGCTTATAAGAATAATGCTGGAGTATCTTGTCATGCAGCTTTATTTTGTGTGTTGCACTATATGGGAGTGTGGCTGTAATGGGATATCTGTTGTACGGTCAGGTCACGCTGTCTCAGATCACTCTGAATATGTCGTCTGACTCTATTCCTGCAAAGATTGCTGTGTGGACAACGGCATGTGTTTTACTCCTACACTGCTTTCTTTAGTAGCATAGACACATCAATGCCTTTTCTGGTTATTTTATATGCTTAATATTGTTGTTATTTTCAACAGGTTATCAACCCTTTCACTAAATATGCACTTGCGATGAATCCACTGGCTAGAGGCTTGGAGGAGTTGCTTCCAGAGAGAATCTCAAGCAGCTTAATGGGTTTTATTATGCTAAGGACACTACTTCTCATTTCAACTGTTTGTGTTGCATTTCTTCTTCCTTTCTTTGGTACGTATATTGTCCCCAACCAAAATTTTCTTTTGATTTGGTGCCTTACATTAAAGGAAATAGTTCTTGTCAACATAAAATACACTTTCTTGATTAATTTGACTTAACTTGAAAGGAGCTAAAGATATTTAAGTTTTACAATGCTAAAGATACTTATAGTAAGTATGGTACTCCACACGAACTTCACCTAATCACCTTCACGTACCATTAATGACATAGCTATGAGAGAAATTTTTGGTGGACACTATAAGAGTTCATTCATAGAAATATTTCTATGTTTTTTCATAAAAACTAATACAAATGAAAGCAATGGTCTTTACTGAAATTCTGCTACACCCATGCGGCCATGCATGCCATAACATGAGGAGTTACACTTGTTGCAGGCCTTGTGATGGCTTTAATCGGCTCTCTTCTCAGTATATTACTGGTAAGCACATCTCCTAAAGTATCTTCACCTTTAATCCCAAGTATGATATGGTCAGGTTTCTGAAAATTATGGTTTCCATCATTTGCAATGGAGTCAAAGATTCATTATTTTTTGGCTAGAGATTATGATGGAATAAAGCAAAATGACTCGCTAAACTCTCTGCGCTTCTTTGTTATGGAACAGCAGTCAGTCCATGCAATTTTGGACGCGATTTTCACTATGGGTCATCCGGAAATAGTCTCTCTGTGATTTAGTACAAGGGTAAGACTGCGTACATCCGACCCTCCCTTACCCCACCGTAGGTGGGAGCCTTTGCGGCACTGGGGTAAATGAAAATGAAATGATGATGAAAAAACTCAAATATTTTGTGTATAAATTTCTTGAGATGAGCTGAAAGTTTTTTTGACCCGATGTTGGTGTTATTATTCAGTCGATTATCGTGCCGAGTGTGTGTTATCTGAAGATCATGGGTAAGACAGTTACAAAGACACAGGTAACTCAGACAATTTACCCTTTGCATGAGCATTACTGCACTTGAATGTTTTTCTGGGCGTTGCAAGTCTACTACATCATTTAACACGTTTTTACTAGTTAATTACTGTACTGCATGTTTTTCACCCTTGGTCTTTTGATTACAATGTTTTCCTAATTTTTTTATCGTCCTAAAAATTGGATGAGGTTTTGATGATCTCAAAGACAATTTTCTAAGAGATAATAATGAACATCTTTACTTAATTAGTGTATAGTAGACCCTGGTCTTTATATCCTCATAGTAAACAAAAAAGGGTTTTACTTTTTCTTATCTGGCATCCCAGAGAAAGTGACCTATAGATTCCAATTCATTGCCTGCTTTTAACATTGTTTAAACCTGTATCAGTTAATCCTAGGATTGGACCCAGACCAGTTCCAGTCCAGCTCTTGTTACGGACATGCTGGTTCCCGGTCCCCCACCCACTAGAACCGAGACCAAGGCTGGGAATTTCAAAACCATTCCAATCTTTTTACTGGCAATCCAATTCCAAATTTTTAGCAAAGTCTGGGAATGAACCCGGTTAGGACACCGGTTCTAGTCCGGTTTCAGAAATGGATACTAATCCACTCCTAGTTTATCCTAGTTGCATCATATGTGCCATTTTGTTCACTTGTAATATTGACCTCGGATCGACATTTTCATACCCTACTATTGACACGATAAGATGAATATGGAACCCTGACCCATGGCAATATTTTAAAACGTTTAAGAGTCGTACAACAACATCCAAGTCTTAGTTCCAAAAGATATTGGGGTCGGCTAACATGAATCGATACATGATATCACAACCAAAATGAAAAGAAAGAATAAAGATAAAAAAGATAAGCTATTATAAAAAGATAATATAAAAAAAGATGAATATACATAAAAACGATAAAATAAAAAGGCTACAAATAATGCTTATATATATATATATATATATATATATATATATATAAGGATAAAAAACAAGGAAAAAAAAGATGCTCACCCAGCTGAAGGAAGGAGCTTGAGCCCGTAATAAACCAATAAAAGCAGTTCCAGCAGCAATCCCTTGCTCACTTTTGTGAAAAAGCTTTCGGAAATGACCGACCTTTTCAGAAAAAAAGAAACGTACCCAATTACCCATTATAATGATAGCAAACAAACTCTCAGCCTTCCTGTGATCGAGTGATGCTAGGGAAAAAAATGCATTTGCAGTTATTTTGTTGACATTTTCTTGTTCCAATTCTTTTTTGGCTGCAGAGTGCTACTAGTATTGCAGTAGTGATTGTGGGCATCATTAGTGCCGCTGTGGGGACATATTCTTCTATCTCAAAAATCGTGAAGCAATATTGATTGGAAGTTTATGGAAGTTATGACAAAAGTTGCAATTTTCTTTTCCTTTTTCCTTAAAAAAGTTGAATCCCCCACCCCAAGGTTCCCGCGTCCTGACTCGGCAAGACTTTCGGGAGGTTGTAAGTCACGGCGACTCACCTTAAGTAATAGTGGGCAAGTTGCATCTACTATTATTAGTTAAGTGTTTAACTTGCAAAAATAAAAGTTAAACCTTCCCCTATGGAATCCCGTCTGATAACTATAACTGCAAATGCATCTGCATTAGGAGTTTATGACTGAAAGGGTGAAAAAGTGTAGCGGTTACCGTCACCCAGCACAAGTAAATCCCGGATTGGATTCTTCAGCAATAAAAAGCAAAAACTGCTTTTGAAGTTCTAAATTCTTTTCCTTCTTGAAAAATACCTTGGTAGGCTTATTGTTTGAAAGAGTACTAGAGGCTTATTGGTTGCTTTGAGCTTTTAACATTGACTTTGAAGAAAGATTAGAAGAAGAGCAAAATACAAATAAATAGTGGTAGGGGCTATGAACTAGAAAATATAATGAGTACTCTTCCCAACTCGTCGAACTAATCAATATCTTAACAGCCGAACACTTTTAACCCTTTATAGGATTCTGGGGTGAACTAAAAGCTTTTTTTTATATTCCTTAAGAGGGTGTATGACTACAATAAATCTTCGGTGCAACTTGAACTATTAGACAATTCTTGTTGTATGCATTTTCTTACACGCCCCTACTTTGTGGACACAACTTCAAATTTTATGTTTTTTTTAGATAATTTGTCAGTGTGCACATGTAATATAGGGGTAAGTATAAAGGGAATTGTCCCGAGTCCTGAACTAAATTCATGAACTACGGAGTACTTGCGATGGAAACAAAAACTATTCAAAAATATTTCAAATGTTGTTGAGCTGGGCCGGAGCATAGCTACCTGAGTAATGAGTCGACAAACTAAATATGAGCTCTCTCATCTCTACTATCGAACTCAAGCAACTCAAAACCGTAATTAGAAATCCGTCTTTTCCATTAGATATACGCTTTTTTGTAGGCATGGACCGGTTGCGAGTCGGGCCGGGCTCCAGGCCGATCCAAACCGGGCTTTTTTCTTGGGGGGTAAGGCCCAGAACCGGCCCAAGGTTCTACCGGGACCAGGCCGGGCCAGGACCAGGCCGGGCCGGGACCGAACCGGATCGAGTACGTTTTTTTTTTCTTTTCTAATTAATTCCTACCCCCACCCCCACCCCAAACCCCTCCAAAACACCAAGCCCAACCCGTCTACCACCCAAACACTTTGAAAAAAAAAATTGGCCCGGACCTTGCCCGGTCCGGCCGGTACCAATGAACCTTGCAGCTCGAGCCCAACCCAAAAAATCCCGGGTCGGGTCATAGGCCTGGGCCCGGTAACGGGAAACCGGGCCAGGCCAGTCCCTCACAATGGCAGGTCAGGCCGGGCCGGTTCCCAGGCCAGGCAGACCGCAACCGGTCCATGCCTACTTTTTCGTATAATTTATGCAAAAACTACCAACTCCGTCTTTTATAAGTGAGCATAATTTAGATAAAATATCTTTGATTTTTATATATAGTAAACTATTAGGCCATAAATTACGTATTTTAAAATTTATATTAATAAATTAAAAAATAAATGAAAGGCTCAAAGAGTGAGGTTCGAGTTAGCAAATTGAGTTTGATCAAGACATCAAGTTCGAGGTTTTATTCCAGCCAAACTTTGAGGCTTGATATTTCCGCATCAACTCAGCTCCATTACCCATTTACACTTGCACCCATTAGAGCATCTTCAAAGGCAATGTGAATGGGTTAAAAAAAGCATTGCCATGTATACAAATAGACATCAGAATAAAACTACTTTCTTCAATGGAAGTGTCTATTTTCTGATTGGTGCAAAGTTGAAAGTGAACAGAATTGACACTGTACTCTGCTTATAATTGCACAATGCTTATGGCTCGAATAACTAACTAACCAAAAAAATCATTTACACACTTCCATAGGGTTGGATTCGGTTCGGGCCACCCGGCCCGTGACCCGGCCCGGCCCGGTACTGTGCGGGCCCGGGACCGGCCCGGTCGGGCGGTCCGGGACCGGGTATGGGCCCGAACCGGGGGGAAGGGGCGGGGCGGGCTCGGTTCAGCATTTTTGTGACCCGGCCCGGCCGGGTCGGGTCCGGGTCCGGGTCCGGGTCCGGGTCTATTTTTAAAAAAAAAAAAATTTTTTTTTGATTTTTGGCTACTAGCCGTTGAGGCCTTGGGGGTGGGGCTGGGGACAACCCAAACGGCTATATAGCCGTTGGGTGGGGTAAAGGGGGGGTCCGGGGGGTGGGGGGGTGGGGGGGGGTGGGGGGTAAAAAAACCTATAAATACTCCTACAATTAAACATTTTTTCATATCTCTTCTCCAATTCTTCCTAAATTCATTCTTAACTCTCTACTCTCTAATTCTCTTATTCTCCAATATATTATATATCTACTCTCTAATTCTCTTCTCCAAGAAGTTAAGATGGAAAATCAAAATGCCATTATACGGTATAATTTTGATAAGCAGAAGGACCCGAAGACCGGGATGTGGTACGCAATTTGCAAATGGTGCGAAAAAAAATGTATTATGGGGGCTTCAGGCGGATTCGGGAATGCAATCAAGCATATGAAGTCATGTGACAAAGGTCACAAAGCCAAAGGATCGGGAGGTGCGGGAAGTTCCGATTGATTACAATTTTCAAAATGTTTCTCTTAAAGTTTGTTTTAATTTTCAAATGTAGTTCCTATTTCATTTCAAATAAATGCAATTGAAGTTTGTTTTTAATACTCTTATAAAACTATAAACTATAAAATATAAAATATAAATTATAAAAAAAAAATGAACCGACCCGGCCCGAACCGGACCCGACCCGTGACCCGGGCGGGTGGCCCGGCCCGAACCGGACCCGTCCAACCCTCGGGCCGGTCCCGGGCCCACTGTTCTTGAACCGGCGGCCCGACCGGGCCTAGGCCCGGCCCGAATCCAAGTCTACACTTCCATGTTTATACTTACTACTCCCTCTATCGGGCTAAAATTGTCTCATTTTTTCTTTTCGAAAAATTCTACTTAAGTTGTTTCATACCAAATTTGGTAAAATTAGTGTGACTTTAAATCATTCTTACTTTATCAATTCAATATCGATCATATAAACTCATTTTTTAGTAACCATGTCACATCCTCATGTCCAAATGTTAATGGTACAAATGTAGTATAAACCAATATGCAGGACATATATGTGAAAACATAGGGTGCAATTATGGTGAGAGAACACACCTTAATGTAAGAAGTAAGAATGCACCAATTGATGCATTTTATCATTCGTAAAATTACACATTTTTATAATTAAACTAATGCAAAATCCAAATGTACATATTTACCTTTAAACTTTTGCACAATTGAAATGCACATTTTCCAATTTTTTATATGCACATTTCTATTTTACATGATACACATTTTCCAACGCATGTGAAATATGTGGCAATGTCGATTAACTTGCAGCTATTTTGTGGGTAGAAATTAGGGGTGGACTCGGGCCGGGCCAACCGGCCCGCCACTGTGCAGGCCCGGACCGGCCCAGGAACCGGTTCGTTGGGCGGTTCGGGCCACCCGGCCCGGTGGATTCTTGGTTCGGGCTCGGGCCCTTCAAAAGGTGAACCGGCCCAGCCGGTTCGGGCCTGGGCCGGGCCAATTTTAATTTTTTTTTTGAATTTTTTTTTAGTTTTTGGGTTGGACTGGTTATTTTGGGCCATTTGAGGTGGTTAGGGTTGGTTTGGGGTGAGGGGGAGGGGTGGGGGTTAACTAGGAAAAGCCCCCAAAAAAAAAAAAAACCCGAGGGCCGGTTCCGGGCCTCCCCTTCTTGAACCGAGGCCCGGCCGGGCCCGAACCGGCCCGAGTCCACTCCTAGTAGAAATAAAATCATGTACTCCATGTCTCTATATAACGCGCAGCGGTTTTGGCTTATGAGTAGGAAACTAACTCTTTAAACAGAATATGGCATTGGAGTGTAAATATTATTTTTAAATTTATGTCTCCATGTGAGTTTCATAGGCTGTGTGTGTGTATTCAAGTGGCATGTCCATTTTTATGAAGTACAATCCTCATCCCCATTAAAAATGCTCTTAGACAGTTAATACTGAACAATGCAAGAGAAAATCATATATCCTTTTGTGCCCAACTAAATTCTATCAATCCAAATACTCTTGTCATATATGAACATAACAAGTTTTGGAAGAATAATTACTCGAACTCAAGCTACATGCATTTAACATCCACCTTAATCCGGTCATTTAAGAGACAAAAGCCCTATGCCCAAAAGGGGCATTGTTTCATCCATATTTCTTTAATTCTACGACACGTGTTTTAATGCTACTAACTGTGACCGAAAAAGATTAATGCAACTTGAAATTCCATGATTACAGGCAACAAAAAACGTCAGCCTGACCACTAGGCCCCCTCAGCCAAGGTCCTCTTCGTTGTGCTGATATAGAGTACTGCATTTAATTAAAAACGAGAGCCCACTTTACAACTAAAATTCAAATATAAAGAAAGGATCAATTTAAAGATAATTACCGTTATTTCCTCGTATGAAGGCATCTCCATATTTGTTCTTCAGTTGTCCATTCACATATTCTTCTGTTTGCTCCATAGCAATATTCATGTATCCATCTAAACACGCTAAGATACCTGCCAAGTACAAAATATTAATAAGAATACATTTCAATCATAACTAGCCTTGTAACACATGCAAATGGTTTAATCTGTTATTTTCAATTGGTTTCCGTAGTGCCTTAAATCCATCATTTGCAATGGAGGCAAATACTCACTATTTTTGGCTTGGGAATATGATGGAATAAAGCAAAATGACCCACTAAACTGTCTGCGCTTCTTTGTTATGAATCGGCAGTCAGTCCATGCAACTTTTGACGCGATTTTCACTATGGGTCACACGGAAACTGTCTTTGTGTGCTTTTGTACAAGGGTAAGGTTGCGTACATTTGACCCCCCTTATCCCACCAGAGGTTGGAGCCTTTGCGGCATAAAAGACAAGAGTGACAAGACTGATTCTCAGTAATCCCTTTTTTATTGGGGGTCATACTTAGGGGATTGGAGAAATCAAGGAAAAATCTCTAAGCAAGTTGTGATGCGCTAAATAATACCTTTACAACTTTTACTTCTCACAACTCCCAAATATTAGGCAAAATAATGCAAGTATGTGGTATGGAAAACAAAGGAAAATTGAATGTAAAAATGTTGGGTAAATAATGATATGCTAAAACTCGATAAATATTTGTTCTACATGTTCGTGAATGTTCATCTTTTATACTCCGCGTTTCTTCATGGAAATGCAAAGG